GCCGCTCCGCTCCGGTCCCCGCCTGCCTGGGCGAGGGCGAAGCGGGGCCAGCGCTGGCTGCCTGTTCCTCCACCTTTTAGCCCCCTTTATCGTATTATCTCTGTGCGTGCCCGCTGTGGCGAGGGTCTGGGGCTGGTGCTGCTGGGTTGGGACGGGCCGGGTGAGCCCCGCCGGCCCTCGGCTGCGCTCCGGCCTCTCTCCGCCGTGAAGTAACTCCGTGTGTGTTCCAGGGCAAACGTGACGGTCACCGACCTTGAGGAGCTGCAGGAGCTGTTGATGGTTAATATAGAGCACAACAAACATCTGGTGACAGGGTCAGTCCGAGCCAAGGTACTGAAATGGTTTGTATGATCCTTTAATGTTTCTGTTCAGCTTTAACGGGGCTTCTTGCTTTGTTTAAATGGCCAAATATACTTGAAAACATTGCTTTAAAAGGGAAATATAAGAACATAGTAGTTAACTTTATGCTCAGTCCTGAAGTAGTATGTGTTGTGTTATTACTGAAACTTGTTTTCATCTTTTTTTGCTTCTTTTTAGGGGTGAAGATGTCACAGAATTTCAGCCTCCCCCTGATTATATACTAATGGCTGATTGCATTTACTATGAGGAGGTAAATGAGGACTTTGCAAAACCCCTATAGAAAGCTTCCTTGGGAAGGGCGTGCGTTTAACATGAGAAGTGTTCAAATAAATACTGTGCTTGCATCTTGGTCCCCATGGTTTAGAGGAATACATAGAACAAGACTGCAAAAAGCATTTTTAACAGCTTCAAGGCTATTTGACATTCAACTGGAGACTTTTTTTATGTTTAAAAAAAACTCAAACTAAATATTTGTGCCACCCCCCCCTTTTTTTTTACATTGGGAATGAAGTGTGAAGCAAAACATTGTGACTGATAGTTGTGAACTGTTTAATGCATTGCTAAATGAAATTTAATAGCTGCCATATCTGTGCTATTTGGGTTCTCCTCGCACTTCCCTTGGGAAGGCAAAAGGACAAATCGTGCTCCAGCTAAGTGGTTGTTGTAGTGTGCCCTGTCTCCTCAGCTGGAGCTCTGCAGGATGTGCACAGAGAGTTAACAGAACTTGCAAGAAAAGGGAAATGACCTGACAAACCCCACGTCCCAGTGCCCTTCCCAGCCCCTCGCATTGGCTCCCTGCATGTTGGTCCTGTTTCCATATGTAATGGTCTGGATATGAGCTATATTCCAAGAATGATTGAGAAAACTCTCACTTTTGAAGCGCGTCAAGAAGTAGTCATTGTTGTGTGCCTCAAGGAAATGCCCGCTCGGCAGGGTGGGATGGTTTTGGCTTTGATGCTAGTTCAGTTTTTGTGGTCAGTCTGTGAAACGCTTCTCCTATGCGGTCTCCCTTTCTCCTCTGCTTTCCAGCTTGCCTCCATGTTCTCTTTGTCCCAGTTAAAGCACTAAAAATAACTCCCTGAAAAGAAAAACTGGAAAGTTCCCTCTTGGGTGAAGACTTTCTCTAGTTAGAGGGTATCGTACCAGTAAAATGAACTTGAAATCTAAGTGGCAAATATTTAACCTCTTTTGGACAGTCATTAGAACCGTTACTGAAGACGCTGAAAGACCTTACTGGCCCTGATACATGTGTCTTGTGCTGTTATGAACAGAGGACTATGGGGAAGAATCCTGAAATTGAGAGAAAATACTTTGAGGTAAGTGTTTTTAACGCGTGCTTTTTGAACACTAGGAAAATACCTCGGATACAGGAGGTCTTTGTATTGGATCAGCTGAACATCAGTGGCAGTTGCTACACGTACAGATGCGGGTTGACTCCACAAAGTAGTTTGTCTTTAGATAGGGCAGAAAATTCGGAAGGTAACTCCTGAAGTTACTCTCCAACTTAGCAGTAGAGACTTTGTGGATACTTACTGAGCTTGCCTTCCCTCAAAAGGTAGAACTAACCTTTCTTCCCTTACTAATCGTAACTGTGTCGATGCTTGCGATGCAAGCAGCCGGACCTGCATGGGCTGTTCAAAGCCTCTCTCGCTTGTGGTACCTTCCAGGGCACCGTATGTGAGGCAGTATCTGTCAGAATCAAAACAGGATCTTTTTTGTAGGAGCAAGTGAATTAACAGTTGGTTGCAAGTGCCTTTCTGCAGTGGTTGTTTTGATGTTACCAGAGGTTACTGGGAGGAATAAAAATGAGTCTGGTGAAGAAAATTTATTTTCTTTTAGCATGTTCCATTGAAAGCAGAGGGAAGGAACTCAAGACTTTCTGCTAAGTGATTAGCTGCTTTTGCAAAAATTCCCCCCCTGTACTGAGAGAGCATTAATAGATGATATAAATAAATAGTCCACCTGCATCTCCTGTGCAGGTAAGGACATCACGGGTAACAGCTGAATCTCTTCTGAGGTGGTGGGGATTTGACTCTGCACCTGTGAAGTCCGCTGAAAAGCAGCCCTTGTGCAGAAGTACTGGGTTATACGTAGTAATAAAAACACTACAAAAAAGAGGAAGGGCGAGAATTCCAGGGAGATTTATACATGTTAATAAAAGCACCTCTTTGATAATTAGGCATGCCTCAAACTCTTGTGGGGACCTGACTGTGAGGAGGGTTGCTATAATTGAGATCATCTCTGATGAGGTGCTGCTCCCACAATAAACACAATAGGTGTAGGTGTTTCTGGATGATTTCTGCTTTCTTGTAATTTATTTCCTTCCTTAGCTTACCAGGATTCAGCCAAGTTAATCTCTTGAGCACGTTGCAGAGTCGATCCTTCTTTTTTTTTTTCCTCCTGCCCTTTCCCCCCTCCCCTCCAGTTGAGAAGGTTGGCAGACAGAGGCAGGTGCTGTGGTTTGGCTTAGCGCTTTGGAGGTTGGAGGAAGCACAATATTTTATCGCAAGGTTTTAGATTTTTCTTAAATGTTGCAAGGTGTCTGTAGCTTTGAATTGGCACGGGAGTCGTTAAAATGAGGGTAAATGTGCTGCATGGGGGGGAGGAAATAGCTTGCATGTTTGTAGAGGCCTTTAGTGGCATCGTCTGAGCGTGGCGATGCCAGGTCTGAGTGTGGTGATTCCGGCCTCCTAAGGCTTCTTGCCCTTGTGTGGGTTTTTAACTGAACACGCTCAGTTCAAAAGGGCAGTGAGCGTCATTTGAATTGTGTTGTGTGTTCTCTGATAACCAGCTGCTTCAGATGGACTTTGAGCTGGAAAAAATTCCCCTGGATAAGCACGATGAGGAGTATCGCAGCGAAGACATTCATATCGTGAATATCCACAGGAAACAAACGGTAGGTTAATTTAACTGGCGCGGCGAGCGCTGCCAGGAATTCACAGAGCTGCTGTTTACTTGGCGTAGTGTGAGCGTTCCAGGGGTGAAGCTCTAAACTGACTGTGAAATACCATTAGGGACCCTGTGAAGCTGCAGCCCAGAACTGTGCGTGTACAAAGGAGCTCCTTTGTTCCAAAACCCAGCGCTCTGCCAGGTGCCAGCCTTTGTCTTCAGTGGCACCATCTTTGAGCTGCATGCTGACTTTCTCTTCTGTTGCCGCACTGTAGTGCAGTGAAATTTCAAAACCGGAGTTTTGAGGCACCAAAGTCATAAAAATAAGATGCCCGCTGCTGCTTTTTAGTACTGTGTGCTCTGCTGTAGAGCCCTCTCCCCAAAACCAGGCTCTAGAGGTGGTATTTGACACCTGTCAGGGTTGGTTAGATCATTTTTTGGTTAATTGATAGACAGTTATGCATGAAAAAAGTCTTTTGCATATTGTGCTGACACAACATGTGGGTCCGGTGCTTAAACAAAAACGGGCCACTTAAAAAAAATCTGTACTTTTTTTATTTTTATTTTTTTTAAATCTCTTCACAGAATTTTCCATCGTGAGATATTCGACCACAGGATCTGTCCTCTGGCAGCTAGTAGAGCTCTGGAGAAGAGGGAGAGGGTATAGAATAACACCACAAAGGGACTGTCTCCAGTGTGGTTTGTGACTCATCTACGGAACGGCTTCTCCATGGTGGACTTGGCACCAGAAGAAGTGGGCTCGTTAGACTAGATCCACTGATAGCGCCTTCCAAGAGGACGGACACGAGCTGTTGATGTCTGCAGGCTGAGGCAGAGGAAGGCAGAAAAGGGAACCGGCGCAGCTCTGGGTGCGTGTGCTGGTTACCTCTGCTGGGCAGCCGCTGGTTGGAGCAGCGGGCGGCTTGCGGAGGGCTCACGGAGCAGATCTGGGGACACCGCACCGAAGGCTCTGTCAGGAGAAATCTCTCACAGCGGGCTTGGTCACCAGCCCCGGAAAGCCGGTCAATAAAACCACTGCACTTGACGGGTCTCGGATGGTGGGTTTGTTCAGCCTGTGGTTTGTGTCGCTCCAGCCTTGCAGAGGTCCCGGAGTCTCGTACCAGGAGCAGGGGCTATCGCAGTGGCAGGTACTACACAGATACGACACACAGATGGTCCCTGCTCCTGTGTGAAATTGTTCTTCCTTTTAATCCCACCTGCGCTTTTCTGCTGTAAAGATCGGCAGCATTAAGGTTTGACATCTTCAGGCGATTCCGGCGAGCAGGTTCGTTGTTGCTGCCGGTGTTCCTCACCGAGCCGCTTCTTGTTGCGCAACGATGGCTTTGAGATTTCATTTCAAAGGAAATCTCGCTTCTGCTCTGTAGTGGAAGCGGGCCGTGGCTGGCTGCGTCATCCCGCAGCCCTGGGTGCATGCTTTGAAAGTAGCTCTGCCGTGAGAGAGGTGCTGCTCAGCGTGAATTATAACGGCCTGTTACAAATCCTCATTCACGCTGCACGCAGCATGAGTGCTCCCTGCTTCAGAAACCTCAGTATTTAAGCTAAATCTGCTGGGTTTTCTCAAAGCTTTGGCTGTTGATTTTTGGGGGAGCTTTGTTCGCAGCACCCAGGCGCTTTTGGGACCCGCCCTGAGCTGTGGTTCCCTTTATCTCCAGTGAGAGCATTCCCTGCAAACTTCACACTTCATAAAACGCTGCCTTGGCTTGCAGAGTGCAACAGCGATGATTAGTGAATGCACGGCAAAGCGAGAATGTAATTTGTCATAACCGCGCACGTTATTTGTTAACTTGTTATGAAAAGAGCTCCTTAATTAACCAGTGGCTTGCAGGAAGATATTTACTGGCGTGTTTATGCCAGCATGGCTTCCCTGGTGGAAACGCTTGTTCCAGAAGAGTTGTCACGCTCCAAGGATAGCTCTAGGGATAGCGGGAGAGCTGGGCCCTTTGCTGGTCGCATCTCCCCGCACACCCTGGGAGGGGACAGCAGCGCTTCTCAGGGCTTCGGTGCTGCCGGAATGATTGTATTTTATCTACAGGGCGTGTGATTTCAGCACTTCCGTTTATATACAGGTTCGGATCTCTCTCAGAAGAAAAAAAGGGAGGAAGTCGTGCTTTTCTCTTTCTCGCGCGCAGCTGCCGGCTGCTCCTCCGTGCCCTCAGCTTCGTGCCTGCAGTGCTCGAGTTGTGAACGTCGTGGGGCGAGAGGGACCTTGAGGGGGGAGCCGGGTCCCGCTGTCTCCCCGTCACTGCCTGCACCCGCTGCGAGGGGGGGATGTAAAACCCAACCGCTGCTTCTGCTGCTGCTCGGCCTCTGCCACGCGGAA